GATGGAGGGGGGGTGATGGAGGGGAGGAACGCGGTTGCTCTTCAGATCTCACTAGCTTGTTTAAACAGAGAGAGCAGATTTGTAATCCACAAAGACAGAGCTGCAGCACTCACAGCCGTGCATGTAAACACACTCTGCTGCACCGAGTGTGTGTGTGAGTGTGTGTGTGTGTTGTAGGATAAAAGGAGGAGGGGGTCTTATAGGTGGTCAACGGTCAATCCCAGGTGTTGACAGCTACATGTTCAACCAGCGGAAACCAGGACCTGCAGGCAGCGACTGTGGTCTGATCCGTCAGCTCAGAGCTGAGTCAGAAGGTGAACCTTCAGTAAAAGTTGTTTTGGTTTTTTTTTTTCCTGACCTCCACGATGTCGGACAGAAAAAAAAACCCACAACAACAACCCGAGTCACAGAAGGACAGAAAAAAAAAACCCACAACAACAACAACCTGAGTCACAGAAGGACGGCCACTCGGTCGGTTTGTTTCTCAGATGAGAGCAACAACAAATTCCCTGATTGGTGTATAAATATTTGTCGTGTTTCCAACCAAGTCTGTGTAAATGAATACTCATGTGAATGGAAGAAACTAGTCAGATATGATTATACAGTCACCCCCACGACCAACAGAAACCAGCCCTTAAGCGGCAACAAGGTGGAAGGGTGGTTAGTGCCCTTGCCTTACAGCAGGAAGGTCACCAGCCCAAACCCCCCAGTATAGATAAGATGAAAAGGATTTGGTTAATGTTTCACACTAAACTGAATGTGTATGTGAGTGAGAACTGTCCTGTGATTGGCTCCAGCTCCCCATGTGACCCTGGACAGGGTCAACTGATATAAGGTTAATTAATGATTTAATTATTTGACGACTAAATGAATGAGAAACATCAAAAAAAAGAAAAAAAAAAAACTAGCACGGACGAGTTCCGAATTTCCCGCTCTCCTGAAGGTAACATCCAGCTCTGACTTACTGTCAGGTCAGTGAATATTTATGCTCTCAGTCTGTGTGTGCTGAGAACACACACAGACACACACACACACACAGACACACACACACACTCACCTGGTTCATGTGTTTGAGTTTGTCTATGATCTGGCTGATGACGGGTTCTGGAGGTTTGTTTCCTTTGGACTCAGAACCCGGGTGTAGTCTCTTCAGGCACGGTCCAGAAAACCTTCAGAGAGAAGAAAAAAAAAAAAAAAAAGATTTTTTAAATGACTCTCACTCAGAGCTGTACTGTGAGTTTCAAAATCGTCTGTCACCATCTAGTGTTGACTGGGTGAATGACAGCCCGGTTCCTTGTCCAGCAGCCAAACCCGCAGTAAAAAGCTGTGAAGCTCATTTGTAATAGAACCCGGACCAACAGACCCACTTCACCCCACAGGAGACACGACGTCTGTGCTCCAACAAGGATTATTACTATTATTATTATATTAAATAAAAATATTAGTTAAAAATAGCTTTGAAAACTGCAGGAATATTTTTCCGTCATTGTACCTTTAAACTCAACAACACGTGTCCTCATCTGTTGGTCCCAGTATGAAACTGGGGCAGTGGGCAACATGGCTGACTTAACACCCCGCAGCCCCCCCCCCCGACGGATTCAGACCTGGTATGTATATCTTCCTGAGGTCAAAGGTCACCTTGCTGCGAGGACACACACACACACACTCTCTCCACTGTGTATTTGAAAATGTTGCAAAAACTAGAAATAAATGAGCAGAGGATGTAAAAATAAGACTCGGTCTATGTGTGTGTGTGTGTGTGTAGGTGTGTGTAGGTGTGTGTAAGTGAGAATGAGGTCATGTTCTGTTTATATCTCTGACTGACACACACACACACACACACACTGGTTTTTGGGTTATGTGAGCCCCTTCACCTACAGCAGGTATAACTCGTTCTTTATCTTCTCTCTCTCTCTCTCTCTCTCGCTCTGACCTTTAACAGTTAAGGTCAAAGGTCACCTGGGTTCATGTTGTTCTGATACAGACGTCAAACTCCAAACTAAAAACCCACAAATATCACCTGACACGGTGACGACCTGCAGAATATCCACACAAGGACAAAGTGTCCCCGCACCAACGTCTCCCATTCCCAAAATGTCTCACACACACACGGAGACACACACACACACACACACACACACAGCGTTTTACACACCTTCTCCATTCATCAGCCTCAGGTCTGTGTGAAACTGAAATGAAATTCGTTCTCATCTGCAGCCATGATCTCACCTCCTTTCCTTCTGCTAATTATCACATAAATAATGAAGGGAGGCGTGTGATCCATTAGTGAGAGGAGAACGGAGGAGACGCCGCAGGAGAACGGAGGATTAGGTCACAGGGATTGGAGAGAGGACGGAGATTAACCAGGTAACATGGGTTAACTTTAAACCTGGTAAAACCTCGGAAGATCACTGACCCCTGACCACGGCTGGTACTGTCAGTGGTCAGACAGTCAACCATAATGGTCAGCTCCGCTACTAATCTAATCAACTCTAATCTAATCTAATCTGATCTAATTTAATCTAATCTGATTTGATCCAATCTAATCTGATCTGATCTAATCCAATCTAATCTGATCTGATCCAATCTAATCTAATCTGATCTAATTTGATCTGATCTAATCTGATCTGATCTAATCTGATCCAATCTAATCTGATCTAATCTGAGCTAATCTAATATAATATAATCTAATGTAATCTGATCTAATCTAATCTGAGCTAATCTAATCTAATATGATCTGATCTAATCTAATGTAATCTAATCT